GCGGTTTTAATGCGTATGATAATATAGGTACTCGGATCATTAGATATTTCGCTCAGTTACGCGTTCATTTGCCGTCAGTGTTTCCACGGAGCAGAAAAGGGCAGTAAATTCTAACATCAAAACGTACTAAATTTTTAATGTTTGTTTCAAAACTTATCGCAGATCGCAAATGGGGGTTTACTACCATAATTCTATAAAGTCTAACTTTGGGAATATATTACAGTCAATGCGGGATTTCTTCGGATAATGCTGTTTACCGATGACTCCTAGTACATAAGGTCACACAGATACACGCGCGTCCACATTAACTTTTTAGAGAACCAAACTATACGCACACTGTTTTATTTGAATCCTCTACAGACATTTACAGTAACACTGGATGAGCCCGTCCAAATTTGAACCGGATGGGTGGCGTAACCAATGGCGCATATTACTTACATTTTAACGAACCCCACCTAATCTAATGCTCCGCTGTGTAGCACGCTCCCCCACCCCCCCAGGTTCTTCATCTTGTCGCGATGGCTGGGGGACTCAGTATCTATACATATGTTACGGGGAAGCTAAAGGACCCCTGGGTATCTGGAAGTAAAGTGAAGGTGGGAGGTACGTGTCCTGTAAAAAGTAGCAAACTACGCAAAATCTGGAAGGAAAAGTACGTGATAGCATTTTGACGCGTTATCTTAGTCACCTCCACAATAACGTTTCTGTGCGGTCACCTGTAACTGTAACAATTGCAAGGGTACCTCGATAAACGGTGAAAAGTCGGCGGTTCCCTGGTTGACCTAAATATCCTGACCAGTGGCACAGTGGTGCGTATCAGGCGGGGTCATAGAGTTGAGGGTAATCTGACCCACCAGGCGGGTTGCGACGTGAAGCGTGTTGGACATAGCAGTCCTATGTAAACCTTGTGTACAGCCTGACCTACTTGATGAGCTGTAACTTTATGGCAAAAGCAAAGTAGGTGCGAAAAACACAGTAGCCCGGGCGAGCCAGGAGGTCGAAGGATGTTCGGAACAGCGAAGGGTGCTCCGAAATAGTTGATGCCCAAAAAAAAAACTTTTGGGTGTTTCATTCCCATCAGCCAGTAATGCTGGTGGGCGGGCAGTCCCTCTGGACTATGCCGGAAGGTAGGGCGGAAAGCCCTCTTCAGCCTACTTTCAGGAATCGTCGGACTAGGTGGGTCGGTGGTTCGGCGAGAAAGATGAGACGGACGAAATGAAGACAGAAAGATTATCTGTGGAATATTACTGCCCCAGCATTTACCTAAGTGATCCAAGAAAACCATAGAAAAACATGGACCAAGGCAGACGGAGCCGGAATCGAACCGGCGTCCTCCCGAATACTAAGCAATAGTCTAAACCTCTAGGCCATGTCGCTCGGTGATGCCCACCAGAATGCCTATACATGTACTTTCAGCTTCGATTCCATCCCCGCCAAGTGGTGTCAAACTCGAGGATGCAGTTGGTTGATAGCTCGCATACTGGATCAGGGGACTGTGCCCGGTTCTTTGCGTAGCCTCCGCATTCAACGTTTAACAGTTTGGATAGACCCAAAACTAAGGGTTACTCGCCTCGTTAACCCTCAGGCACCATGGTGGCTTCCTAGAATCAATTGGTCTGACGGAGGGGAGACCCCAGAGAGTCCTCTCATTCTATCCTGGCACAATGGTGCTGGTTTAGCGTGTGGATTAGTCTTATCAAGTCAGATGTCGCACGTGAAATCTTCATTAGTTGTGTCACCCTGTTCGAGAGAGAACGCAAAATTATCATTTAATCTTTGCCTTTAAAGCTGTTACTTGCTTTTCCAAACTGTTTGCAGAAATACTGATATACATATTATTAAATTTAACGTTATTACGTACATTTCAGCTGATTACATGTTTGTATGAAAGCGAAGTAGATTCTCAAAAATATTTTCAAACACTTTACACTTCGAGTCATTGAGCTCTGTTAATGAGGGACTATAATTAAAATTGTTGTGTAGTAGGGTGTACCTTTAGTAATAGGCGATAAAATTTGCGATAGGCTTGCTATAATAATAATGCATCGTAATTTCACAATTTATGACTGCCTCTTCTACCGTTTAATTAAAATATAATTGCCAAACGTTTAAATAATCCGAGCGATACAAATTCTCCCCACACGTTTGACACTATTATACATTCGTATACCTACTTTTCATCCCTGTTACTGAAAAAAGAATATTGTTTTTACATGAGTCAAGTACTCATTACATAATAAAATAGTAGGTCTGAGTTCAAATTTAGTTTCAGTTTCTTAGCATGTCAAAATTTCGAGATATTCTAACCTTAAAATTGAGAAATTTAAGACTGCTGGAGAAATGGAAGACGAAGCAAACGGGAGAGCAGTCACTGACTGCCGTTAGTGGGAAATAGACGTAAGAATTTATGTCACTGAATTCCAATATAGCGTTGGACTTGCCACAATACATCAAGATATCAAAACCTCATACCTCACAATCTCAGTGTTCGCCACATTGAATTTATTTTTGGTTGTACCTTGCAGTTTACTCTGCACAGCCCCCTTGGCCAAGGGATTGAGATGCGCTCAATCAGCGCAGGAATGTCAAAACTGCCGCTGCCAGTGTCATCTAGGGTGTGAGATTGGTACGGATGGGACCTATCTAATCTCTACCAGGCTTAATATACCCGAGTGGATATATGTTGTTCAATGCTCACCCGTAGAGATGCATCTCTTCTTACTCAGCATGCAGGGTATAACCACTACTACTACGGGTTCAACATCAGACGGTGGGTCATCCTGCAGTACTAGTTCTCACCACTAGCTGAATGTTTTGGGGGACAAGTCCCCCTCCTCATTTCGAAACTGGTACACCATTTCGATATCATGGGATCGTCATATTGAAATTATTTTTAGTTGTACCTTGCAGTTTACCCTGTACATCTCCCTTGGGCAGGGGTTTGAGATACGCTCAATCAGCGCACGAAAGTCAAAACCGCCGCTACAAGTTTCATCTAGGAAGTGAGATAGAGACCCTCGAACTCCTTGGTACGGATGACTTATCTAATCTCTACCAGGCTTAGAATACCCGAGCGGATATATGTTGCTCAATGCTCACTCGTAGAGGTGCATCTCCTCTTACTCAGCATGCAGAATATCACCACTATCACTACGTTTTCCACATTAGACGGTGGGTCATCGTGTAGTACCAGTTCCCACCACTAGCCGAATGTTTTGAGGGACAAGTCCCCCTCTTCATTTCGGAACTGGTAAACCATCTCAGTTTCATGGGATCGTCATATTGAATTTACTTGTACCTTGCAATTAACCCTGCTCAACACCCTTGGGCAAGGGATTCAGATACGCTCAATCAGGGCAGGAAAGTCAAAACCGCCGCTACAAGTTTCATCTAGGAAGTGAGATGGACTCCCTACAACTCCTTGGTATGGCTGATCTAATCTCTACCAGGTTTGGAATACTCTAACGTGTTAGTGCTCACCCGCAGAGGTGCTTCTCTTACTCAGCATGCGTGGTATAACCACTACCACTATGGGTTCAACATCACACAGTGGGCAATTCTGTAGTACCAGTTCCCACCACTAGCCGAATGTTTGGAGGAAAAGTCCCCCTCCTCTTTTCGGAACTGATACACCATTTCGGTGTCATGGGATCGTCATCGTTACCTCACCCTTAACACTCATATCGGTCGGATTACCGCATTCGCTTCGATGAGTGTAACGCGAACAAGCCAGTTTTGCAAATCTTTTCCACACATCTTCATTAAGACTCCAGTCTTAGGGAATCATTTAGTGGTATCGGTTGCTGGTAACCTCAGTTTTAAGGGTGAAATGGATAAATTATATATATAATTGAGAATTTTCTGATCTTTATTTAATACGTTTCAGGAACACACAGTACACGGTTTATATTTTATATCGTTAATAAAACAGTCTATAAAATTTGTTCATTGAAATATTATGGGAATTGTATGCGTGTAGTTTATCGTAGGCGGTTATTATTTTTTTAATGTTCGCGATAACAAAAGAAGCTAACACGTCCGTTATATGTATAATAAGCGTACATATTTCGACCAGGTGATCGTTTTACATTTGCATTGTTTATTTATTATCGTATCGCTTTGCCAAAGTGCACGTACCTACCGGTTGATAAAAACTGTGCGCTCTGTTGTCACACGCAGCAATATTATTTCAGATTTATCGCATTCAACCGTTTTCAGCCGAATGCTCTTTAAAGTGCTTTGTATGTGACGTTAATGGCGGAAATTCAATCTAAATTAACCTCAAATATGTCATCTTCTTTCCGAATAAAATTCTGCGAGACCAGACGATAATAAAAAGGATTATTCAAATTAACGATTTAACTACAAAAGAACTTTTTGCTTGTTTACGAAAACAGTATATTCCAAAGTCTAAAACGCCATCCAATTTGCGTAATTTAATTGAAATAATATCTCGAAAACTGTACTGACAATATGCCATCAAAATTAAGTTGATTAATTTGAATAATGTTACTGTTGAACATTATCAATTGAAACAATTTGTGACGTTGACACTGAGTGCACATAAGTATTGGTTTTTTGTTTTAAAAAACAGTTGAATGGATAACGCGAACGTATCAGAGGGCTAAGGTCAAAGGAGATATCAGTATACCTAATGGTATATTCCGTACTAGGCTATCGAGTGCTTCAAAAGTTTGTAATATCACAATTTCGCAAACTGCTATAATTTAAGTTGTTTTTGAGCATAGTGAAGTATGAAGCTGCAGAGCAACTTGACGCAGGACTCGTTGGGCTTTGAAGGACGATTATTTGCTTTTAATTTCCTCTTTTTTCCAAACTTGTGAAGAAAATTGCAGTGAATTGCAAAGATGCAAAGATAGACTAAAGAAGTAGATACATATATTCTGAAGATGCATGAATTTTTGAACAAACGCATGGGGGATTGGTCAAATTAACTTCCTTTAGAAGATCCTTCCTCTCCGAATCTTTCTACATTAATATTTATATAATCTGAGTCAAAGGAACGATGAGTTTTTTAATTCATCCTCAGGGATCATCAAAACTGACTCCGTTTCCCAGTACCATTTCCAGGATTCATGAGGATACCAAATGGCAGACGATATTTTTTAGTGGCAGCAATTCGCTTTAATGTTATTGTAAAGAAGAGAAACAAAGAAACAAGCACTTATTTATGACAGAACGTTGAAAACAATTGAAACAGCTAGTAATTATTGAGTCAATCAAAACAATTTTCAGGAATGGGTGTTTTCAATTATTCTCCAACAATTGATGGAATGACGGGATCGGTCGTTATCGAATGAAATTCCACTGGGGATTTGAAAAGTGCCCCGTGGTTATTTCGTTTATCCATTATGGTTCGACTGTTTAAAAAAAAAAAAAAAAACAAATGGCACCATTCACTTTAATTCTTGGCTCGGTAATGTCGGCGCAGGCGTGCGCAATCCATGGAGTTCCTCGTGAGCGGCACTAGGAAATTTCAGTCCTACTCTGGCAGGTGATGTCGGCTGGTCGAGCACACCATTGTGCCACTCACTCACGTCAGCCACTCTACGATCTCAGCAAGACACGCGCGCTTTATGGAGTAGCATGCCAAGCTAAACTATGACCGTTGAGTGACACGAGCCAGTATTCGTACTGTAATAATAAATAAAATTTAATTGAGTATTTACTCGCTAATCCGAGAGCGCGTGGTGAGTTCGAGAAAAAAGAATTCGTAAGTGGACAACCCCTTGTGCGTGTGGAGCGCGGGAGAATGTAAAAAGTGTGCGCTCATGCAGGATCGACTTTGCTAATACTTCTGGGTGCCAATATATCTGTTACGGTGCACGCGTCTCTAAGAAGGGTTACGCGAGCGTGCTGGGTGCACGAAGGGGAGACAAGTGAAATGGGTTCTCTGCTGTGGGGGATTTGAAGTGATATTACGCCGTGTTGCTATGAACTCGTTTGTTTTGAATTTGTATTTGTGCATCGTCGGTCTGAAAAAAAATTACTATTCAAACAAAAAGTTGTGATATAGTTGATTGTTGTGGGACGGACGCTCTGTTTGCAATGCTCGATAACACTTGCATTATCGAAGGCTCGGTGAAATTTCGAGATGGAAAAAAGGTTGGTCTCCTACAATCTATACTATTCATTATTATTATTGATTGTGCCGATTTAATAAAAAGCGTAAACCGCCTTTTGTCTATGGTGCTCTCGTTCACACGAAAATTGGTAAGAGGGTTGAAGAGAAAACCAATCAAAGATGTTAATCGCACGAACACATTTTCTCCATGAGACTCATTAATTGAACTTCACTAAACAAGGCGGAATGTAAATGAAAACTTGTCATACATTATAAGGCTTACCGTAGGTCGTGTAGGCATTTTCATGACCTAGCGCAATAATTAATAAATAAGTTTTACAAAAGGAGCGCTGCACTCCAAGTTCCGTGATTACGCATCACATATCGAAAGGATTCGTCCTTCTTCCACGTCTCCGTCAATATTCCTTGGGCAACAGATTTATGTATTATTTTTATCGATGTTTTGCAAAATGTTAATGAGCTTGTGCCGATAACATTCCTGACCCTTTTTTCTTGCGGAAATATGAAAAACGATAAAATTCTATTTTTACAATGATATTGTTTTATGACTTGTAAAATTTTCGATTTAATGAGTCGCTTTATCGGTTATATTTACTTGTTTATTTTAAAGATAAAAATCTTTTATTAAAAAAGTGTTAAAAAAACAGCTTATTACGTCAAGATGTCCATTCTTATAGTTGTTGCTAAGGCGACGTAAGATCTTTTTTTTTCGTTTTCTATGCATTCGTATGGTGTTGTAGAGATTTACAGAATGGATCTTATGAATTATTAATAATAACAAAAATAGATCTTTACATTACCATTAACAGAAACAAACAGAAAATCTGTTTGTCATCACCACTTCTCGTTACCGTTAAACATCTCTAAAATTTAAACGAGTAGATGCTTAATATGCATTAAAATCATCATCATCTGTATTTAATCATTCAATATTAACATTCATTTCCAATGCACTTTACATGCTGTCAACATACTCTTACACGGTCGGTTAGGCGTATTTAAATACGTTTTGTGTGAACGCCATGTACCCAGTATAGGTAAAATATGTCGGTAACATTTGAAACTGTATCATTTCCTGTACCAGTGCATGTCGCTATTGTAACGGACTCGTACCTATAGCTAGTGTTCGTGAGATCAACTGATGACATGATTTATGATGCGAGAAGACTGCCCCCATGGGTTACAGCTGGGGTAGGTCTGTTCCACATTTAATCCTCACACATGTCGCTTAAAATGAATCAATACATTCGCAATTCTTAGTTGTTTGTTTCATCACACGATAAGCTATTGTAGCAGCCAGTAGCTTAATAATAAGATGTTGCGAATTCTTTGGTGGATAGGTGTCAAGTTTGTGGGTTCAGAATTTCATTTCCTGGGGAAAAATCTCGATTCTTTGTCGAAAAATCGTAAGGCACTTTAACCCCACACAGTTACATTGATGCCCTTTTGTAACTCATGCAGAAAATTTGGTAAGAAAGTAAAGAAAGACTACATCCAAGTCATGAATCTCAATTATGAAGAGAACTCCATAACTTCTGAGATACAACCAACGATCTTATTATGTAAAGGGTATTACCTAACGATAAGTCAGATTAGAAAAAACGAGCTTGACCTTACATGTTTTGAAGATAAAAACAGTTTAATCTTTATAACTATGTTTTAATGTAATATCCAATTTTGTATGAATAAGTTAAGGGCTGAAGACCTATACATCTATTTTTTATGTTAGACGTTAATCGCTTAAACAAAAGAAGAATTAATTAATCCTATGTACATCATATTTCATTGAACAATCCATTTTGGTTACTTAACAAGCGAACGTTCTAGTTTACTTACTAAGTGAAACAAATTAGTTTACAAAAACGAACGGCTTATCCCTTCAACATTTCTGTCCGTAGACAAAACTGACAAGACAAGTGGTTGTGTATCTATCAAAAGCATTTGTAATTGTGCCTAAAAATACTACAAAGGTATCGGTATTCTTGGGATTTGGGACCTTTCAGTTGCCGAGTTACTACTCCACCAAGAATGTACCTACCCATAAATAAAAAGCTTCTAAATAAAGCCTCTTAGCCGTTGTAAACCTTTTATTTGTAGAGGATCGGAGAGGTGAGAACGTCTCGGTTACAGTGTTACCCACTTGATAAAGATGACAATAGAAATATTTGGCACGTGATGCATATAGCAATAAGCCTGAAGCCGACTAAGACTGGAACGGACTGCGACTGCTAAGAGTGCGAGTCGCAAGTTTAAGGCAAACCACTTTTTGCGAATTCCTAATCAGTAGCGGAGCTACTAAGGCTTTGTATGCTAAATCATTATATTGGGGATACTATTTCGGGCATACATTTCATCTCGATCTGGATTAAAGTGTTACCACTGTGAATTTACTCCAATACACGATAATTGATGGAGTGTATTGATAGATAATCTACTATGTGGCATTATGTTACGTCTATAATCTTTTCAATATGCCGCCTTTTATTTTAGAAAGATCCAAGGAATGTAAGAACAGTATCAGCTAAGTAACTGAACTACGTGTTTCTTGATCATGGTCAGTTTTTTTTAATAATGTTTGTGTGTGAGACCAATCATCATCATGCTGTCTTCTACCCATTAGGTTAATTTTAGAACCGCTAGATCAAGTTGCCCCTTGTTTATTAAGTAATTTCACCATTTTTTTAAACATTGTAACAAGTATACGACTAATTAAGCTGCGAAATGTAATTATTTCATTTGTTCTGGGGATGTCGCAAAAAAAAAACAGATCACAATCGTTCACGAACGTTCTCCACAACAATTGGTTTCATGGTTACAGTTTCACTTTACAATTTTCACCGTCACACATCGAGTAGATGTGTAGTTAAGTCATTAACCCAGCTGCGTACATTTAATTGGTAATTAAGGTCGTACACCCTACCAACACGATGGCAAACATTGTATGCGGTACTAATCGAAACATTGGTCACGGATGGTGTGTATCGTATCTCGACTCATTTTCGCGTTTCGTTAGTTGTAAATGTAATTGTCAAGAATTATTGTTCAGCTGTACTTAAACGAGATTTCGGTATATGAGAAACGCAGAAGAAATTTTCAGTGCTTTTCCTAAAGCCATCATTCCTTTGTGATTAGTTTGGATTTGTTTCTCATGCTATCAATTGGATTTACCCGTTTCTCACTTCTTCTATGCAAGAGATAGAAGCCAACGACATGTTTCTGTTGGTCGGTCATTTAGGAGAATCATTCTCCTTGGACAACATGTTCATGGAGTTCATCATCGAATTTGAGTTTACTTCTTCTGTTGTATTTCTTAGGACCTGGCTGTTTCTGTTCCCTTCTGGGCAAAGTGGAATAAAACAAACCCTTATTGTATATCATTCTGAGAACTCATTGTTCCTTAACAGCATCTTCAAAAGTATCTCTAATGAAAATACCATGAATGGATGGAGATGGACTTTTGTCATCATATCAATGAACACAATACTTGAAAGTATTCAGAAATAAAAAATGGCCAAGAGTAACAAATCCAGATAAAAGTGACTTGTTGTAATCTCCAACTGTCACACATTCTTCATCAGCGTGAGTGACCAAAAAATAACCGGGTCATTGATGTTGAAATGTTTTAAAATCTAAGTGCTTTCAATTTTTTGGACCCCCTCGTATTACCGTTGCACTTCACTTATGTCCTTGAAAATGGCGTTAGTTCCGCGTGTATTTGCGTTAGTGTTCTGCTCGTTTGGCAACAACTGGCAAGCAAACGGACCACTGTGAGTGTCGGCAGATTGGGCAATGTTCGCCGGTGACTACCTATGGATGTATAAAAGCTGCAGATCTAGTTCCCAGAGAGCTAATTAACTACAGGCCGTTTTATTCGGTAGGTAAAGTGGCCACTGGCGTGCCAGTGCCAATTGCCGCTGTCGTTAATCGGGTGCTTGTGGGTTTCACGTCCCTCAGGTAGAGATACTTAATATGACTGACTGACTGTTACTATGCGGCTGGCTCTATTGTTGCCTCTGTCAAACCACTTGACGATAACATTTTCATAGGTTATTTAATAATAGCGGCGCAACGTGTTAGTTTGGCTGAAGGGGGTTTTGAAGCACGTTCCTGAAGCTTTTTAGTAGCCATACAGAGTAACACTTTATGTCTATGTTTCTGTAATAAATTTGCAGTCAAGTACTTAAAGATCATTACCAATCAAGTAGCAAACAAACAATGTACAATGAAGGCGCAAGCAATTAATTTATTAGTGGGTAGGTTTACAAAGTAAAGTGTGATAAGCATATTAATGAACTTATTATACGTATAAGCGTAAAGACTCTTTTGGTTAGGTTGGGTTAAGAAATCTTTATCCGAAGTGTCATTGCAAACAGTGTTAACCGAAACAAGAAGGTAAAAGACTTCAGCAAAGATTACATCGCTGACGCTCAAAAATCGAAAACTAGAAACTTTCAAAGGTTTCTCTTTTTTTCCATTTTTTTTTTGATTAAAAAAAGTTTGTTTTTGATACGTTTTCTTTCAAAATTTTACACAATTTATTTATAGTAGGACAGTTATAATTTCAGACAGTTTTAATAAAATTTCATATTTGCATTTCTGTTATATTATTGTTATTTTTTTTGTAAAATTGCAATTAATAATTTATTTATATTCTGCAGTAAATGTTAATAATGTAGTAAGTGTCGTTAATATGGATTATGAGCGCGTATTACCTTTTTTTTATGTAAAAAACTGTTAGCTAATGTAGACATGTATTTAAGAAGTGAATTTTTAAAAACGATATGTTTATGTGTTCATAGAAATGATCTAATAGGTTATAGTGCAGGAAAAGTTACGATTAACATAATTCAGTTCCACGGACAATTATTCGTATAATAATTGAACACATTAACTAATAACATTTACAATTACTGCAATAATTGACAGTAAATGTATAATAACATTTAATTTGCTTTTCTTTTTTCTTCATTACGAAAATTTAATTATAGTAAAACAAACGAAGCGGAAAATTGTTTATTAT